TTTTTTTTTTTTTTTTTTTTTTTGCATTTAAAACAACGATCCACTCTGTTTTTACGGACGTTAAGAAATGTGTCCATGGTCGATGGAAACAGGGAGGCTGCTCTGTCTCTTTTACGGTGAAGTTCAAAAATAAATAAGGTTCCAAGGAAGGAGCCGATTATCCCAAGAAGTACAACAGGTTGTTAATTTGATCCTCTTGTGTGGAAGTAGAGCTTGGACGGATTGTCCTTGTGTGATTAAGTTAGTAAAGCACGAGGCTCTTAGCAATTCCCTCCACTATCCGCCATTTCGACCAATATCCTTCCTTCTTTCTCTCTCTGGGGATTGTGCGACTGTAATGTATGCAGGAAAGTAGAGTGAGGAAGACGCCGGAGATGGGGTTTCAGGACCAAACGCCGTCGTCGAGATCAGGCTTCAGAGCTCGCGATTCCAGCCCCGATTCTGTCATTTACGCTCTCGAATCGAGTTTCAGTCTCTTCTCTTCTGCCTCCGCCAGTGTGGAGCGCTGCTCGTTTGCATCGGAGGCCCACGACCGCGATTCCCTCATCTCTGAAATCTCACTTGTAAATCTCATTTACTTTTATCATCTTCTTGCATACACTCAAATGGGGTTGCTTATTTTCTGGTTTATTTTCGTGGGGTCTTGGTTTTTCTGACTGATATCCAAACCTTGGAAACGAATTGGTAAAATGGGGCCGTTTATTTGGCCGGGGGTTTTGTTTTCTCTGAGCAATACCGGAGATTAGAGGCGGTTGTTTATTTCGTAGTTGGTTTTTCTGGGATTTTCACTTTTCTGAGTAATACCAAATGTTGGAAACGAATTGGGGAATCTTCTTTGTCTAAATACTGTAATGAAATAAGGGTTTTGGAGGCGGCTACGAGGTTGTGAAGATGATTGATCAACAATACGAAATGGAAAAAGGAAGATGGGATTGAAAACTTTTGTTTTGTGATTTTGATTGCAGCATTTGGAAGAGCATGATGAGGAAGACCACGAGAGTTGCGGTGGTCCAAATCCAGATCCAAACAAACTAGCACTAAACAACAAGCACAGTCGTCTCTATACCAAGGGAGAAAAAGCGAAAGGTACAGCTAGATTTTAAGCTCCGTGAATGAATAAAAAGAAAAAAAGGGTAGGATCTCACAAAGAAACACCCACAGAAACTTTTACGTACTTCAAATTCGATTCTAATTGGCTTTTCTCCCCCTTAATTCCCAGCAATTCAGAACGAAAATAGCAATGTCGATTTAGAAGACGAGAATCGAGCTGTCGATTCGGCGAGGAGTTCCTTTTCTCTTGCTCTGAAAGGTATTACAGATCCAACTCCATTCCCTTTTCTCAGTGTTTATCCGTATATTTACTTGAAGTGGGTTGATTTTACAGAGTGTCAAGATCATAGATCCAGATCTGAAGTTCAATCCAGGAAGCTGGACAGAAGGAGACCTGCTTCATTGGATCTAAATAACGCCACTACAGCTTCCTCACCTCGTTTGGCAAGTATCAAGAAGAACCCTAAAGTATCAACACGGAAGACTGGAACATTTCCAAGCCCTGTTACGCCTAATTATAGGCACAATAGCTTTGGTATGCAAAAGGGGTGGAGCTCGGAGCGAGTGCCATTGCACAACAATGGCGGTCGGAAACATACTAATAACCCTGCATTGCTGACTCTCAACAGTGGCAGAACATTGCCATCGAAGTGGGAAGATGCTGAAAGGTGGATCTTTAGTCCCATATCCGGTGATGGGGTCGTGAGGAATTCAGTTCCACTTCCTCAACGGCGGCCTAAATCAAAGAGTGGGCCACTTGGCCCGCCTGGTATTGCATACTATTCACTATATTCGCCGGCTGTTCCGGCTTATGAAGGAGGGACTTTTGGAAATTTCATTACAGGGTCACCATTTTCAGCTGGAGTGATATCAACGAATGGCTTGGGGATTCATTCCGGTGGGCATGAAGGGACCTTTCATGGACAAACAGAGCCCTCCATGGCACGCTCGCTTAGCGTTCATGGGTGCTCTGAAATGCTGGGTCTTTTGTCCTCAACAACAGGCTTGCAAGAAGGTAAAAGCCACTCTGACTTCAAATTTAACCAAAGGTCATTGTTCCTGTGATATTGCATTTTAATTACTGGGGAATGTTTCTTGTGCCATTATATAATGGAATTTGATTCTGGAGTAGGGATATAGAATGCTTTGGACCAATTTGATTCTGGAGCAGAGGTTACCAATTATACCAATTATAGCTTTAGAGTTTATGCGTTGAAATGTTGTGCAGGATCAGGGGAAAATGTAAGTACGGAGGTCAAGGGTTCAGGGACGGATGCTTCTCGTGTTGTTTCAAGAAGGGATATGGCCACACAAATGAGCCCAGAGAGCAGTGTGCAATCATCTCCCAAGACGAGGCCGTCAATCTCTGCCTCCAGTTCATCTGGTATGCATATGTTAGAGGTGGGAGCTGTGAGCTCTAAGTTGGAGGTGAGGGATGTACAAGTTGATAACCAGGTTACTTTGACAAGGTGGTCTAAGAAACAAAAAGCGCCATTTCCTTGGAAAGACTCTGTTGACGACAGGAGGAAGAAAGACGGTGATGCGGTTTCTGGATGTTCAGATTTAGATGTCCCTAACATAGCAAAATGTATTTCAAAGTATGTCTTCTAAAATTCCTTTATGAGATCTATGTAAGGAAAGATAAGCATATAGAATTAAAATTTATGCCATACTCTGAGTCCTCTTGCAGGGTTAAGCGTGAGGAAGCCAAAATAAGCGCATGGGAAAATCTACAGAAAGCAAAAGCCGATGCAGCCATACGAAAACTAGAGGTTCTTCCCTACAAATACACATATAATTCACCATAAATCTCCTCACTGATGAATAATATTACAGTTTATATACTCATTGAGAATCTTGCATCAGATGAAACTGGAGAAGAAGAGAGCGTCATCAATGGATAAGATCATGAATAAACTGAAATTTGCACAGAAGAAGGCCCAAGAAATGAGGAGCTCAGTGATGGAAAACCAGTCCCCCCGAGACAACAGGACATCTTCTTCCATCAAGTCTCTATCATCTTTTTATCGAACCCGTCATATGGGCTCCCTAAGTGGTTGTTTCACCTGCCATGCCTTTTAGTATTCCGTTCATTCAACCAGGTGATCAGTCTTTTCCCTCTCTAATTCTCTTACTCATTGAAAGTTCGAACAGATTTCAAATATCCTCATGGCCGCATTTGTTTATGTGCATACTTGAAATCACAATCTTTTGTACTGTAGGACAACCCCATGGATCTTGTTTTGACAGATAAGAGTTAATTTGAGGACATGGAAGGAAGAATATTGTATAGAACAAGAGACGCTGCTGCTTCAAATCGAATGCGGTGTCAATGTAGTTTTATGGTGGCATGGTTAGTTACTCCAAATGAGCTGCAAAACAGTGATAGCCAACTTCATGGGAGCTGAAGTATCAGAAGCTTTCTGGATCCAACTTCCATGGAGACCAACATTTGAAACTTCGTTTGTAACTAAAACTAAGTTAACCCTTCTCTCGTTTCTTATCTCATTATTCTTAACACATTTTGTTTTTGTACTAAAGTATATTTGTCCAAGGATTCTTACACGCCCAAAGCAAAATTATTGCGTCATTATCTACATCTAATAATATTAACTAATTTTTTTAAAAAGAAAAAAAAAAGTATTATAAATTCATAAATTTCAAACGCCGTACACGTGTTGGGACGGAACCCTTGAGGTTAGACGACGTCATCATTGTGGACAAAATAGTAAAAGCAGCTCCACCGCTGCCTGTCAGAGTTTCATGTGCACTTCACGTGCTCTTTTCTTCAATTTAATATGTACAATGGTCCAGGTGTCACATAGTTACTCAATTCCAAATCAACTGATTATCAAATATCGAGGATTTTATTTTGTTTGTTCACAAAATATACTTCAATTAAATGGAGAAAGAATAATAAATAGAACAAATAAAATGACTCATATATTAAAAATTAAGGCTAAATGTTTATTCCGACAACTTAAAACTAATAATTATATTAATTAAAATTCTAAATCGAATCAATTCGAAAATATTTTGATTTAAAATTATTAATACATGATCTTCAATAAACGTAACAAAATAATAACATTTTTGTTAGTAACATAAATGTTTTCTTAATGTATTCTAAATTATTTAACAAAAATAATATCATAATTATTTTTTAAAACAACTGTCTTATTGTATGAGATCCCACGTCGGTTAGAGAAAATAATTAAACATTTATTACAAAGGCGTAGAAAGCTCTCACTGGTAAACGTGTTTTAAATCGTGAAACTAATGACAATGCATAATTGGTCGAAGTAGACAATATCTATTAGCGATGGATTTGGGACATTACAAATGATATCATAGTCATACAAAGCGATAAGCCCCAAAGATGGTAGAGTCTCATACCCCACATCAATTGGAGATGAGAAGAAAACATTTTTTATAAAGATTTAGAAAGTCTCTTTAATAGACACGTTTAGATCTTATATATTAACTAGTTAGAATTAAATTTAAATCAAAGTGAATATAATTACATATCTTTTCTAGAAGTTGTAAATTTTAAGTAGATCTAATTATTAATCTTTGATTTTTTTTTTAAAATTAATATAGCCTAAAATTTAGAGTAGATAAAATTAGAACTTAATTTGTAAATTTGTCCTTCCAGTAGAGTAAAACAAATATTAGATGGAACAAGTACAACCTAGTCCATTCTAAAAGTTTTTTTTTTTTTTTTTTCACTAATAAGGAAAAGGAAAGATATTTGCAAAAAAAAAAAAAAAAAAAAAAAAAAAAAAAAAAAAAAAAAAAAAAAAAAAAAAAAAAAAAAGAAACTCAAACAAAAAATGTCATGAGACAACGGTTTGGGAGGAGTGGATGTCTGTTTCAAAACCTCATTCTTACAATTTACCAAATTTGGAACACTCATCGATCAATCCGACACATTCCCAGAAAACAAAAACATATAACAACCGATTCATTCATTCATTCGGCACAAACATTCAAGCATCCTCCACGTGCTCATGTCCACTTTGAGCAAAGTGGAATTGCTTGTAGTTGCTTCCACCGGCCGACATCGCCGCCGGAAAGCCAAAGGCGGAGGAGGGGCGGTTGTTGGCGGCTATTTGGAGGCATTGGACTTGGTTTTTCAAGAACTTAACGTAATGAATGGCCTCGTCTAACATGGAAGCGGTGTCCATTTTGGTGCCGCCAGGGACTATTCTTTGAAGTATTCTAATTCTCTCGCTTATTCTCTCTCTTCTATGCCGCGCCGCTACGCTCTGTGGATCTTTTGATATCTTCACATTCCGCCGCTTTGGTGGCTTAACCGCTTCTGGGTCTATCTGGATCGGCTGCATCGCCGCTATCCTGTATATCATCTCCCTCATCGCGCCCATTGAATCTTGCTGCTGCTTCTGAAATAATAATCAACTCATGAGACCGCCTATTTTTAAAAATTTAATCTTTCGAATACATTTTGTGCAAAAACATATTTGGGTTCAACATATGATTTGTAGTTTAGAGTATGGTATGATACGTACCGTGTGGGAGTTTGGGGTGGCAGCAGAGGAATGGGGTGGAAGACACGGTGGCGCAAGAGGGTGAGTGGCGTTATTCATTGAAGCGGTGGATGAGAGAGCATAAGAAGGGAGAATGGGAGTTGGGTTTTGAAAGCGGATTGAAGTGGCACCAATATTGGAACTCCCAAAAGAAAAAGGCGAAGCTGGCAGTTTAGTAAATTCAAAATACTCAGAAAAATTTTCCATCTGAGTCAGAACATCCATCCCATCGCCAATCCCTCTCAATAAATAATTAGAAATACAAAAAGACGAATAAGAAAGATATGGAAGTACAGAGAAAAAAAAAAAAGAATAATAGTCGAAGGCTCGAATCTTATAGAAACTTGCAGAAGAAGAAGAAGATGAAGAAGGTGAAAGAAAGTGGTATCGGCGGGGGGAACACAGCAATATCACATTTCTAGTGAATCTATCTATATATATATATAAATAGAGAGCCTGAAAATGATATAATATAATATATGCAATAATGTAATAATGAGACGTGTGTCATAAATCCAAGGGGTTTTTAAAAAAAGTATTTTGCTTTCATTTTTGGTGTTTTTTTTTTTTTTTTTGGGACCAATAATTTAAGAAATTTAACAATAATATCCAGTTTTGTACCTTGTTGTTTTAAAATTATTGGATGTATGGAGGAATGGAAGATAAAGAGTGTTGGCATGCATTCAGCTAAAATGATTGAATCAATAAAAAAAAACTTGTTGAAACAATATAATACGTGTACTTGTTGAGATTTGTATTTATTTATTTTAAATATGAATTTACGATGTAATGAAACTAAAATTTGTATATCAGTTTTTTTAAAGAGAAAAATCTAAACGGTTATATGTTCTAATACCATTGATCCTGATAGTCATTAATTTTTTTTTTGAATTTTATAAACGAGTTCTAAATTCTACTGAAGGTGTGGTGTGTAACGAGGTTTGGAAGGGGCAGTTCTCTCTCATAAATGCAGTTCAAAAAGAAAAAAACTCATAAATGCTGATAATGGTGTAATTTAGTAATCAGTTTAATTTTCACTTCATTAAATTCTTGATAATACAAGGAAGAGCTATTTAATTCATAGACATAGTAGGAAATAACAGAGTAATTAATTATTAATAAAAGAGCACTATTTTTTGTAGCAAAAATTGTTCTAGTTATGAAGCAATGCATGAATGAAAATATACATAGATGGGACCATGTAATGAAAACAATGAACAAAACATTGTGATTTGAGTGTCATATATTTTATCTTAGGCGATAATCCTCTTCTGTTTTAACAAATTGAAGTTGAGCAGAAAGAGAGAGGCTTGGACGATAATGGTTTGAAGGAATAATAGGTGTTAAGGATATTTAGTAATAAATTATAGTTTACCATATATATTATATTTGATATTTTATTATAAGGCAAATATTAGATATTTGCCTTATTATCATAGGTATCTTTCTATTGTTATTTCCATTTAATTATAAGGCAAATATTAGATATTTGCCTTATTATCATAGGTATCTTTCTATTGTTATTTCCATTTATTACTATTTTCATATCCTTGTAATTTATTTGATTATAAATAAGATAACTTTCACACCTAAGGTGTGGTGGATTAATCAAACATTCACAAATTTATTTGATTATAAATAAGATAACTTTCACACCTAAGGTGTGGTGGATTAATCAAACATTCACAATAGGAATTGATGTTAAGAACCCTAAAACCCCACATGAAAAGCGTCAGAAATTTCTGCAACTCTGTGTATTATTTATTTGGGAGAGAGAGGGAGAGGTTAGCATTATCCTGATCATTTCATCTTCGGTTGCAGTTTAAATCATTAATTTCTTCGATCCCTTCATGCATTCCTCGGAACGCCATTCGAGAAGGGATTAGGTGAAGAAACAATGGCCTGCTTGCTCTTCAATTATCGTAATAAACCTTTCTTCAAAAAAAAAAAAAAAAAAAAAAAAAA